CGTGGCTGATATGTAGAACTAAATGGTATTGTAAAATAAAATAAAAGGAAAAAAATATCAACACCATAGTCCGAAACATAAAAAGTAATAAGTAAGAATAACTCAAATTTGGAGTGGAGGGTCCTAAACTAATAGCTAAAATATACACACAGATGACATGGCCCAGAAATGTGCAGACCCTTGTCTGGTGCTTCCATCTATCTGAGCCTATATGCACCCTTTTTTCTTATTTGATTATGAGAACAATTGTCTCCTAATGTCCTCCAACCCTTATGGCTCTTAGAATCTTTATGCCTGCACTTGTGTGGAATTCCTTGAGCTCTGAGGGGAGGGATTTGATGTAGCTCTCCAACTTAATCTTCCTCTCCACAAAATATCTGGCTGTGAGTCTCTGTATCTTCTCCCCTCTGCTGCTGGAGGAGGCTCTTCTGATGATTGAATTAGATACTGATCCATAAAGATTGCATATTATCCAAAGGAATCATTTTATTGGGTTCCTTTTTAGACCAGTAGTCTTTGTTTTTACTCCTGGTTTCAGAGCTATCTAGTGTCAGATCTTTGAATATCCATTCAGTTATGAGTGTGAGTTCCATTGCAAGAAGTGGACCTTGATCAAAATAGACATTGTTTTTCTATATCTAAAACTTCCCTGACATCATTGCTCTAGCATATTTTGCAGGCAAGACACATTGTAGATCAAAGGAATCTTTAATGTAGGAGTGAATGGTTCTCTGACACTTATGCCTGCTTTGGGGTTTTCCCCCTTTCCTGTTAGGTTGCCTTGTCCAACTTCAATGTAATAATTTTTCTTTACATTATCAATTTTTTATATTTGGCTCTTAGCCTTTTTTTCTGATGAGAGATATAAGGGGAGTGGTTCTGTAAGGAAGGGTAGGTGGGGAGAAACCAGGAGGAACAGAGTGAGGGGAAATTATAATCAATATAATTTACATGAAAAAGTATCTATATTCAAAAAAAGAAGAAGAATATCCAAGAAAAACTAGTAAAAGATGTATGCATCCTAATGTAATGTTCTACATCATCCCATAAAAAAATGCCATAAGTCACAGAAAAGAGCCTCTGCTTTCTCATTATTTCTGAATTTCATTTGTAATTACTGTGGATAGCAGGACAAGTTGACTCTTCTTTAATACTCAGGTTGTATTGGAAGAAGGATTTTTGAAACCTAAGAGAATGTCTAAGTTAAAGAACAATGTGTGTGTGTGTGTGTGTGTGTGTGTGTGTGTGTGTGTGTATGTAAATGTGCACATGTATGTAAATGAGTGTTTATTTGCAGGAGTAGGATGTAAAGGGCATGATAAATAAAGAAGTAGGAAAATGAGAAAATTTCCTTTTCTTAACATTATGTTTTTAGTGAAATAGAATAACGTCTGGACTCTCTCCCTATCTTTCCTACAGTCACTGTCACTCTTCACAAGACCTGATTTTCAATGTAAGAGACGCTTAAATTTTATTATTTTTGTTACATATCAATGTATATATGTCATATAAATACAAATACTTGGTCCAAAAATAAATTAATTAATTTATGTAAATTCCTCTTCATCCCATATAAAGTGAATCATCATTTAAATACATGTCTATATACTCTCCACTGTAATGATTTAGTATGGAGTACAACCTTACTCTATAATTTATACTGGAAAAGCTATATTAGATGTTTTTATGTAAAATTCAGACTAATGCATTGCTGTTATCCAACTCAACAACAAGCATAGGTATAAAGAAGGAAACCAGCATTACCGACATAGTAATGTCAGGTCACCAAAGTCCATGAGAACTGAGATCAGGACCATATTTTAAAACTCTGCTTTTGTAGTTTATTTTCTGCTTTTACTCATGAGACAAAGTACATATTTGACCTAAAATTTGAGCATCAAAATGTTAGTGTATTCTTGTTGGGAAGTATGTTCTAATGATAAAGGAAAACTTAATGAATATTTTCAATTTTAAAATGCACATTTCCAAACTTTTGAAAAGTATTTCTCTCAGGTCTTAACAAAATAATGAAGCACTTTGGAGCAAAGATGCAAAGAAGCAGCCCTGCACTGGAGGCCAAGATACAGAACACCTCCACTGCCACCATAGCCTTGCCCTTGGTGCTATGGTATACAGGGAGGAAGGTAACCCAGACACTACAGAACACCAGCATGCTGAATGTCAGGTACTTGGCTTCATTGAATGTGTCAGGCAGATCTCTGGCCAAGAAAGCTACAGTGAAACTTCCCATGGCAATCGAGCCCAAGTATCCAAGAACACAATAGAAGGCAATGATTGACCCTTTGTTACAGACAATCAAAATGTGCTGTCTTTCAACATGTATATCAACATCAACAAATGGTGGGGAAGTTCCCAGCCAGATCCCACATAGAATCAGTTGAATCACAGTACAAATTGGAATGATCAAGTTAGGTCCCCCTGACACCAGCAGCCACCTCATCCTTCTACCTGGAGTTGTAATCTTGAAGGCCAGTACTACTGTAATTGTCTTGGCCAAGACAGTAGAAGCAGCCACAGTGAACGTTATTGCAAATATGGTCTGCTGCATGAAGCATGTGGCCATATTGGGTTTGCCGATGAAGAGTAAGGAGCAGAGAAAGCAAAAGATGAGGGAGATGAGTAGAATATAGCTGAGAGTTCGGTTGTTGGCCTTGACTGTGGGAGTGTCCTTGTGTTTCAAAAAGACACCCAGTACAAAAGCTGTGAGAAGAGAAAAACACAGAGCCAAGCAGGCTAGAGACATTCCCAAGTGGTCTTCATAACCCAGAAATGCCACCACTTTTTTGAGACAGTGATTTCCTTCAGGGTTGGCATACTGATCATCAAGGCACTTCACACACTGATCCATGTCTGGTACAGGAATAAATGTATCATTAGTTTTAATATTTCTTGGTATTTTACAGGACATATTATATCAATGCATTAAAATTTCTTCTGAAATAGCCTTTTTTTCATTTTTATTTTTTGTTTTTTTTCGAGACAGGGTTTCTCTGTGTAGCTTTGGAGCCTGTCCTGCAACTCACTGTGTACCCCAGATTGGCCTTGAACTCACAGAGATATGCCTGCCTCTGCCTCCTGAGTGCTGGGATTAAAGGCTAGCACCACCAATTAGCCTTATTTTCTTGAGGTAGATAGAAAGTTATTTTTTTATTTAAGAATTAATAGCAATAACAAAATCTAATATTTTAATGCACAATTTTGATAGTCTGTCATTTATCATTTACAGCCAAGACATTTTAGTTATTTATCAGAATTAATTAACATGTGACAGAATATTGTTTACACAACAAAACACCTTATTGAGTACAATATAGAAACACATATTTTTCTTAACATTTCAGTAGATTATAAAGTATAAAATCATAAAAGCAGGTTCTTCCATAGATAACTTTTGTCTTTCTATCAGCTGCAAGGCAAGTACTACATACCAGTGGCCTTTTGTAACTTCTTGTGTACTGAAACACAAGGCCACATGAGTAATGTCAGGGAAAGCAGAAGATTCATGAACCATTTACCACATAAAGTCTCTACATGTTAAATGTATCCCATTTATTATTAGGTTTCTTATGAATTTTGGTAATAAACAGAATCTCCCAGTTTACTAATTTCTGTAAGTTTGGACCATAATAGAAAAATATTTATTGAGAACACAACACAAATGGGACACTTTCCATATTTTTAAATTGAACAATTTTATTCATTTATTTTACTTCCAGACCACATTTTCCCTTCCCTTGTCTATTCCCATTTATTTCCCACAGCTCTCCTCTGCATCCCAATCCATGTCTCCTCTGTTTCTCTTCAGGAAGGGGCATGCCTTCCAGAGGTACCAAAGAAGCCTGGCATATCAAGATGAGGTAGGACTAGACCCCGCCCCTAAGAACATAGATAAGGTACACAATAAAGGATAGAAGGAAGAGCTCTCATTTACCCATATCATGTAATTTATTACATCATATTTTTCAACTGCATTCAATTAAATGGATCAACAGAGCAAACTTAATGTAACAATATTATCCTTATTATGAGTCTTCCATTCATGACTGTATATCATTACCAATTACTTTTATTCTCTCATATTTTAGTATGTAACATTATCCAAACAATTGGACAAAAACATTCATATTCTTTTATTTTTCTAATCATTTTATATTATTGTTTGCTATAAAATATTTTATTTTCATTATTTGAAAATACACATAAGCAGTTACCAATTTAATAAAACCTGGTACATTATTTTTATTTTCAATTACTCTAAAGTTAATATATGTAAAACATAGTTTTCATCAATTTATTTTCTACTTAGTATTCCATGAAACTTTTTCCCATTATTTACTTGGTCCTTTACCATATATGTTTAATATTTTAGTAGAATTATTTGTATGTAAAGTCTGCATGAATCTCCATGCTAATGATGTTTAAATTATTTAGAACAATTTATATTCTCTTCTGCAGATTAAATAAAGCAGCAATTTTATATTTAAGGTTTATGTTACTACTTACTCCCAAAGCAATTAATTCCTTTTTTCAGTTACCTGCTGTGGTACTTAAAACATCACTATTAAATGTTTCCTGGGTACCTTGTCACTAAAAAGATATCCCCACCTATTCAGTCTGAAAAGTTTGCATGCATACTTGTTTCCATTATTGAAATATTAAAATAAATGTTTCAATTTTGAATTCTATATGTTGTCTAAAATTTCACCTGTGGACGAGTCTACAAATGAAAATACAACCAAACAACTGACAGCATTATCTACACAGGACGTATGAGAAAATGCATGTCTCTTAATCAGGAAGCATCATTCATGATCATCTACAAATTATCACAAATCTCACATATGCTATGTAAATAAGAATGTGCAGATCCCAAGTCTTAGGAATGAAGAAAAAATTAGATATATTATGAAGGACTATTTTCCTGGCTAAGATAAATGCTATAGTGATATTTAGTACTCTAAATCAGTTTCCAAATGAAACTACTATGTAAATAGGTGCTGGAGTAATGATTCAAGTATG